GGGTGCCTCGGCGTCGACAAACCCTAAATGATGATACCATGGCTTTTAGGGTGCCGCGACGTCGAGAAACCCTAAATGGTGAAAACTTAGCTTTTAGGGTGCCTCGGCGTCGACAAACCCTAAATGATAAAACCTTAGCTTTTAGGGTGCCTCGGCGTCGATAAACCCTAAATGGTGAAAACTTAGCTTTTAGGGTGCCTCGGCATCGACAAACCCTAAATGATGAGACCATGATAATTCCTCACAAACCAACCCCTAAATAACACTTAAATACCACTGCAAACTGATCTTAATTAAAAGATTCAACAAACAGCATACAAACCAAGGTTCAGTGCTACAAAACTAGAGTTCAACACCGTCAAAGTTAACACATTTAAAGCTTTAGTCCAAAGCTATTACAAAAGATAAATGACCCACATGGTCAGACAACAACTCAACTTAGTCTTCATCACAAATAAACTTAATCTGGTGAAGATTCCTCTTGTTACTATCACCTGCTGTCTTGAGCTCAACAACGCAGGAAGCAAGAGTACTCTTCTCCATGGTCAACTTCTCCTTCTCTTTTATCAGCTCAGCAATGCAACTATCCACCTGACCCTTCTCTTTCTTTAGGTCATCCTTCTCTTTCTTTAGGTCAGCATAACAAATCTCCAAAGTCCTCTTATCAGAGCTCATCTTTTCCTTCTCTTTAAGATGATTGAACTTCAATTCCTAATGACAGTAGATTGAGCTACATGAATTAACTTTAACTGTTCATGAGCAGCCTTCCATTTTTTGATCTCAGCATCCTTTGCCATGCTGCTTTCCACACTGAATGTAATGTTCTCAGCATCATTCATCTGATTTACCTCAGGCAGGTTATCCTATGAATCCAGGAGGTTGTTCACATCTTCAACAAGCTTCTCATATGTCTCCTGCAACTCTTTTTTCTGTTGTGTGAGATTGTGTACAGTACATGAATGCTCCAGGCATGCCATCCTATTGTTATGCTGGCTATCCTCATACATAAGCCACAACTTGTGAAGAGCATTCTGCAGATGATCTGGCCACTCCTCATCTACCCACTGCACTAATCCACAATTATTAGCACCCTGCAACAGAAAAATTCAGTTCAGTATATGCAATGAAGTTCCAGATTCAGTTATATGTTACAGATTTAGTTAAGTATATAACACACATCATCATTCTTATATGTTACAGATTCAGTTAATGTACCATATGCAATGAAGTTACAGACTAAATTAGTTACAGAAAAATTCAGTTCAGTTAATCCATCAAATTCAGTTAAGTTAATCCATCAAATTCAGTTAAGTTAATCTACCATATTCAATTAAGTTACCCGATTCAGTTAAGTTAATCTAGCAGCTTCGGTTGATGAAGAGTTATTATGAACCCTACAACTTTGAACAGTAGCTCTGAACCCTAGAACCATGAACAGTAACTATGAACCCTAGAACATGAACAGTAACTATGAACCCTAGATGAATTGGAATGCTGTAAAGCTACAACTTCATACTTACTTCAGTGGCACATGCAATGAACCTCCTCCCAGTGCTTATCCCCTCAAATGCAACACATTTCCTCCCTGGATTCCCATGCTCGCACATCACCATCAAGTCATTAGCAGCACCCTCGAACAACAATTGTAGCTGGGATCTGGGCAATCCAACACAAACTTGTTCAAATCGAGCAGAACTAGTAGAACCAGCACCCTCGAACAACAATTGTAGCTGGGATCTGGGCAATCCAACACAAACTTGTTCAAATCGAGCAGAACTAGTAGAACCCTAGAACACAAATGAGTGGCGGCCAGACAAACAGAGAACCAGAGAAGGAACTGACCTTGAGAGGGGAGTCGGGAGTGGAGATGTACTACGCGGCGGAGCCCTCAGTGATCTCGCTCTCGCTCCAGGACACCATGGCGGCCGGCGGCGACTGGAGAGGAAGAGGAGCAGGAGGGAGCGAGTGAGCATGAGAGAACACAACGCGAGGTCGATCTGATAGGGCGCAGTCGGTCTGTCCGACACGAGCCGACCGCGTTCTCTTAAGCGAACGACGCCGTTTGCGCGACCGTTAGGCCACGTCGAAAGATTTTGGGCCCCACCTGTCGGAAACGTCCTCAACCACGCCAAATCACCTGTTCGGTGCTATCTGCAAAATGTTTACTGAATCCGCGGTGCATTTTACAAAAAAAAGAAAATAGCGACCTGATGGTTTTCCGCAGATGAAACCTCAAATGTGGTGGTTTTCTGCTTTTCACTCCAAGGTTTGCCAGGCTCCGATCAAGGAGGAGCGATGACGGTGCCTTCAACTTGCTCCAGTGCTTAGTCATTGCTAGGTAGTCCTATGAAACTTGATGTCTTTCTTTTACTTCCGGTATTCTTTGTACTACGTTGACAGTACCTTGACAGTTGATAAGTAGACCGAAAGTTTTTCTTAAAAAAGGCGTGGGGGTCATGGCGCTTGATCATATTGGCCAATGTGTTGCGGCTTGTTCTGAGCACCTCGCTGCTGCATTGGAACCTGAATTGGCTGAAGCCCTTGCACTCCGCTGGGCAGTCTATTTGGCTCATGATGAAAAGATAAAATCGAACGTGGTCTTTGCTTCTGATTGGCTATCTCTTGTGCATCGGCTCAACTCCGTGACCCGGGATCACTCGTCTGCTGGTTCTGTTATTGCTGATATCGAGTTTGCAGCAAGGGATTTCTCTTCAGCGGCCTCCAAGCACGTTCGCCGACACCTTAATTTTCTGGCTCATGTACAAGTCTTGGATAAACTGAGTTAGTCTTTGTATTTTTCATTCAGTTTTGCTAAACCACGTCTAGATGTGCCATAAGTATTACACATCTTAAGTCCTATGTCATTGATCTTACATTGAGATCAGTGTGGATATTTTTTTTCTTTTTCGCTTTATGCTTGATTCACTCACTTAGATATACAATAACTAAAGCACATCTAGATGTGCACTAAACACACCCTTTTTCATTATGCGCTCCGGACTGTATCCGGAAGACTACGTGTAGTAATTTTGTTGCTTAATTAATAAAGTGTCAACGTTCTAAAAAAAAGAGTAATTGCCTTCTTGGCATACACAAAAATCGGGACACAGAAAAGGTAAGACCTGCACTATAGAGAAAGGCTTCTGATATCACGCTGCTGATCAGCAATCCCTTTCGCTAACCGCGAGGGCAGTGGAAGCAACTCAACTGGAGCTCCTGTGGAGGGTGCGCTTGTAAATTTTGGGTTAAACCACCTTCTTAATGTGAGGCCGTTGATCCTCATCCTCCCGTGGGACTCCTCGCCTTGATATTTAATTCCTAATCTTCTCAGCAGGGAGCCAACTGCTTGCCCGACTCTGTATGTCACAATCCAAATTAGTCTCTTCAGACTTATTGGACAAGTGCAAGGCACAAAAGAGAAATTCTATTTGACTCAGCAGATTATGATATTTGTAGATGTTGGCACAGTAGCTTTTCAAGCAAATGAAATAATCAGAGCTGAGACTAACTTAATAATTATTAAACGAAAATTTCTGATATAGTATAGGGCAAGTATTCAAGAAATGAAATGTGATTTTCACCTTCCAGCAAGTTTAAGTGTTTTCTCCCTTTCATCAAGATCAACTTGTTTCTTTTCGGTGGGTAATAGAATTGTAACATTTGGTAACCTTGCACCTGCATGTCATAACGTGTAATTAGAACTAAGGGAGCAAGATGTGAATTACACTATAATTTTTTGAAGTCTTCTTCTATTTGCACATGGAAATCACACTACTATTTGGTAGTTGCTTGGAGGGTTCCTCCTAGAACTAGAAACTGGTGATTAATACTACCTCCGTCCCAAATTAGTTATCGCTGAAATGGATGTATCTAGACGTATTTCAGTGCTAGATACATCCGTTTGAGCGACAAGTAATTCCGGACGGGGGGAATACAAAGTTTATCAATAAGTTGCAAGTTCCTTATAATTCCCTAGATAGATTTGATTCAGCACAAGTCATCTAAGCCGCAGCAACTCGGAACCAGACAAAAAGATTGGGATAAATTGGACTATGTCAGAATAAATATCTTAGTTTACCAATAATGTTGTGTAAAACAGTTTCAGATTCTACATGTCTGCTTTGGCCGATTTAACAACAAATATTAGAAATATAATGTGTATTTATTATTCTACAGACGGTTCTACAACAAATTTATTGTAGACAAAGTAATAAACTATTTTAGGCATCAAGGAATACTTTCGGATTCACCTGCAGCTAGTCGATGCTTCAAAGACTTAAATGTCGATAGAAGAGAAACCTGACAAATGTGAAGTATAAGTATGTACTATATAGTAAGTATTATATAGGTAAAATATTTTGGGCACTTAGGTGCCTGGGCACCCAGAGCGCCAGACGTTGGATCAATCCATGATCCATCCAATTCATATTGGGTTGTTGGTTTCTATAACCCGTTAGCAAGCCTCTCCAGGCAACAATTGGCAACCTTCCAAATTATTGTTGCATGTGCATGCTTCAATAATGTCTAGGTGGCTCAATGACATGACACCAGCTGAGACCGCTCCCAGCTTCTTCGAGATGCTGCGGCACAAAAGCATCTCACTTCCCTGGGTGCTTCAGGGTATCCACTCAGGAGCATTTGCACGGCTCAGCAGGTTCACGAGTTTATCCATCTTTGGATGTTGACTCGGGAAGTCGGGACATACCCCTTTCACCTGAGGGTAAGGACATGGTCACGTGGCGGTGGACAGAGGATGACACATACTCCCTCCGTTCCGAATTACTTGTCTTGGATTTGTCTAGATACGAATGTATCTAGACTCATTTTAGTGCTAGATACCTCCGTATCTAGACAAATCTAAGACAAGTAATTTGGAACGGAGGGAGTACACGGCTAGCTCCGCATACGCCATCCAGTTTCAGGGCTCCTTTTCTCCGGTCCCAATATGTTTGGATGCCATCTTGAAGGCTGTCGGAGAATAAATGCAGGTTCTTTCTGTGGCTTCTCGCCAGGAGGCGAATTCTCTTCATGGGCAGGCTGTCGGAGAGGGGTTGGCTTAGTCAAGAAAACCACTGTGCCAAGAGCCTCCCCTCCCTCCCCCCTCTCTTTCTCACCATATACTCTCCCTCTCTAAAAGAATGCGCAGAGCTCCTACCATATACTACCTCCATCTGGAATTAGATGACGCTCAAACGGATGTATCTAGACGTGCTAGATACATCCGTTTGACTGTCAACTAATTCCGGACGGAAGAAGTATAAAAAAAGGTTGTATTACATATCACAATAATCCACCGCTTGTCAATTGCGCCTTCGACAAGCGATATGCGGCCGGAAGAACATATTGCTTCGTTTCCATCGTCTACTTGCTGAGACGTAATATAATATGTAGAATGTATGAATATGAACTATGCATGATGCATTGGCTGACATCATGGCCATCTTTTTCCTGGCTATCTATAAGAATATTAACATATACTCCCTCTGTCCCAAAATTCTTGTCTTAGATTTGTCTAAATACAGATAGTCTGATACAGCAATTAAAAGTGCTGATATAGTTATATATACTCCTTACTAGCTTCAATTAGAAGTACATGTACTCCCTACTTAATATCACAATTCAAAGTATATATACTTCATAAGCGTACTGCTATACACCGTAGTACCTTTTATAAGAATAGTACTACCTCTGTCCAGAGTTAGTTGTCGCTAAAATGGATGTATCTAGATGTATTTCAGTGCTAGATACATCCGTTTGAGTGACAAGTAATTTCCGGACAGAGGGAGTAGTATATATACTCCATATTGGTGAGCTACATGGAAACATCCATAGATCGATGATTGCTAACCCCCCTATGATGCATGTATGACATCACATATGCAGCACATACGTACTCCCTCCGTCCGAAAAAGCTTGTCCCTCAAATGAATGTATCTAGCATCAAGTTAGTGCTAGATACATACATTTGAGGGACAAGCTTGGGGCAAACTTTTTCGGACGGAGGGAGTATATATTTATATTTGTCATATAAACATACTCCATGCATATGACGTTATCCATAATGTTTGCAAAAATCTCCATCCCAGAAATATCTGTATATTCTACATACTCTAGTGCCTAGAAAAAAGGATTATACTATGCTTCCGAATCAACTATGTACGTACGACGCACTTAATATTTATGGTTGTTTCTACCACAAGCACTAAGTAGTAAGTATGTACACATAATCCCAGTGCTAAAATTATACACGCACACCACAGCTCAATATTTCAAAGGTTAGGTGTTGAATCGAACAGGTGTAACACTGGCCTAATAATATATAAAGGCACTCTGGGGTAGCCAAAGTAAACTAGACAAAACTAGTAAGCTAGACACAAGATCATGAAGGGGATGATCCGAGTGTCCATGGTAGGGGGACTGGACCGGCCGTGGTGGGATGGTCGAGATGCGTCTAATGGTTGTAGATTTAGCACATGGAAAGGAGCACTCATAGTCATGTCCTGGGGATGTAAAAATTAATTGTTGAACCTCGTTATCAAACATCGCTTCTCCGTCTACTTTCCGCAATGGCCTAATCGCATAAATTCAAACAAGAGTGCTAAAGTAGTTTTCATGAAAGTAACATGCAATAAGAAAAAAGAAACCTCGGCTGTGTAGATGTTTGACTTTCTTGCATCAATGACAATTTGACTATATTTTGTGGAAGTGCTTGCAACTGCTCCTAACAAGCCACCTTCCTGTGACAATAAATGCTGCTTTAATACCTAAAGAATACTGAAATGGAATCATGGTTTCATAGAAAGATAGCATCTCTACCTCCAATACTGAAAAAGCACGAATATCATATTCACCGAATCCTTCCAACAGTGAATTTGTATTGGGGTGATGTGGCATATCACAACTTATTCCCATATTATCAATGAAAGTGGTTTTCAATGAACTGTCATGAGGAAACCTCAAACAACCCAGCACTTGAGATAAAACATCGCTTGAGGGTAGCAGACCAGCGGTGATTGCCTGACGGAAAACCATAATTGCTGAGGATGTCCTACAAAGGAATCAACAAATATAAGCTTCTGACAAAGAAAACTACAGAACTGATTATATATATGGTACCAGTAATAATTGAAGTTTATATCTATTGATTCCATATTAGAACCCAATTGTACTCCATAGCATGATGCCTCTTTCCTGATTGGATATGGATTCAAGCCGTAGATTGTCCTCTATGTTCCCTCCATACCATAGCACGCATAGGCCTAACCAGTAGTAGAACAGCAGTCCAGTGACTGAGACTCGGCGGCAACCCATATTTCTCCGTGTTCCTCTCCAGTATCTTGTCAGTGGAGCAGAACTCCATGCTCGCAAACAGTTGCCCACATGCGGGGAAATATCTAGGGTGATAGTACGAGGGGACAATATGGCTTGGATGCGAGCTGGAGGTTAGCTATGGGATAGAGCAGACAATGAGCAGTTTGCTGAGATCGGGGACCTAAAAGAATTCGATCGGGAGCACGAGTTGCAGGTGCAGAAAAAATACCTAGGGCGGTAATACCATGTTAGGAAATAAGCAACTTGTATTTCCAGGTGGCCTGATATATACACATGTACAGGTGTGGAATATATGCAGAAAACCCCGTATACAGCTGGATATTACACGGCAAATATATACAACTCTAACAAATATGAACGAGGCTTTGATAAAGATTAGGGTAAACAGTGTGCCCTTAGGACCCCACACCGCTTATTTATAATGTCAACCACCAAGATTACAAGTTTAGAACTGTACCAACTCAGACTCCTTCTAAACAACAAACCAGACACTTAATGGGCTCGGGTAATACTAATACCAGTAACCAATAATAACTTCTCAACACTTTACCTCATGGGTAAAGGTAGGAGATCAATATACTCAAACTAAAGCATGACTAACAAAATAATCTAAGATGTACCTTGCAATTCAGTTCACATTTAAAAAAAAACGCAGTCTTTCCTAGTAGTGGATTCCTATGGTAAAGCTTGCATCTATAAGATCTGAATGTATTGCTAAGTTGCAATTTTACGTGTATCTGTAAACATGAGCTATAGAATACTACTTAATAACAATGAATTGACTAAAGTTACAACATAAACTACATATTAACAAGAATCTTGGCATGCAAATTTATTTGAATTTATAGAGTCCAGCAATGCGTGTACCATTTATTGTCAATCTGTGGCTTCCCTTGGTTGAATCTGACAATGATGTTGCCAAGTGAAAGATCATAGGAAAACATTTGTAGACATAAACCTGAAGAAAAAGGTATTCCATTATGAACGATTGCCACCAAAAGGAAAAACAGTACACAGATGAAAAATAACTGCTAGCAGCAGTAGACACAAGAAAGGTAAAAACAGGTCAGTTCAGCACAAAATGAAAATTCCAGTTCTTCCATACAGTACCAACCAACAAAACTTACCAGTAAGACAACCGACAATGGTGGGATTGAGGCCAGTACCATCTACTTTTAGTTGCTCAAATAAATCAAGAGCTAGTTGTGCTTCACCATTTCTGCAGGTCAACTGTTAGTATCTCAAGAATATCATGAGAATAGTCTGAAACGACCAGTGCTTGCTATACTTTACCTTTCGCAAGCCACACATAAGACCGAATAGGTTATCTCATTTGGACGGACACGTAGTTCCTTCATCTCATTAAGGACCTCAGCAGCTTTTAAAACTTGATCGCCGTCACCTGCAATTTCATCATGTAGTTAATTAAAGCCTGAAATCATTGTTCTTTCCAAGTTCAAAGATAGGAGTAACAAAATAAGAAGTTGGAGGAAATGAAATACATGCGTGTTCAAGGAAAGAATTGCATGAAGAACCTATATTTGAAGTATAATACATTAGGTCCCTTAATTCGAAAATTAACTTGGCAGGTTTGCAAACTCATTGTGGAGTGCCACTAGCATGCCTAAATTTTCAAATTGAATCATTTAAGAAATTCTGATTCAGCTAAACTTGTGAATTGATCTTGTCACAGTTGACATATAACACTTAAATAAGATAGTGTATGTGACAGTTGACATATTTGGGACCATACCAAGTTCACATTCAAGTTTAGTGGTAACAAGCTGCTACAAGTGTAGGGTCATCTGGTGCAACTCTCTCTTTAAGAAAATAATAGGTAGTAAGTGAACAAATATTTTGCATTTCCTTCTAAGAGTACACATACAGAGGGAAGTAATTAAAGCATTCATCATCGGGACTGTTGGAATTAATTTGATAGCCTTGATCTCCTCAAATAGCTGCAGCGCCTTTTTCCAGTCCTTGGCCTGATACAATGGCGATCAGATCAGGATGAGCAAAAGAAAAACTCTGATAATAGAAATGGTTTCAGATCAAAAGTACATGGATGCAAGCTGAATACAGAGCTAAGTATGTAATGTGCAACTTCTAGGACTACTATAGACACAAAAGTCAAAATTCAATCCTTTAGGTAATTTTCCATCAAACAATCTGCCAAAGAACTTACATTGCAGCAAGCGCCCATACAGGAACTGTATGCCATGATTCCAACATGAAATCCCTTTGCTCTTACATCTTTGATTATTTCAAAAGCAGCATCAGCCCTCCTAGCGTGGCCGGCCACATCAACTAGAGCACTCAGAAACATCTGTAGTACATGGCATTAAGCAAAGAGAAAAGTCAAATAGGCTGTAGGGGGGGAGCACATTACATATCCCTTAATGTTTCCACTAAACATTAACACCTCATCAGGTTGAACTCCGATCTTGTTCATATCTTCATAGATCTTCAATGCAAACCCTAAATCGCCAGTCAAGCTACAGCTTCTCAGTGCAATTGTGTAAACTTCTGGAGTACCTTTTATACTGTACTCCTGAAGCATTTTGTAAACCTCACGAGCTCGATCAGCCTACACAACAGAATGGTTTCCAGAACTTGATTTTCAATATAGGAAGCATATTTTCTGCTTTGCATTTCTGAAAAGAAATTAGTCTGTAAAAAACACCTGGCCAGCCTGAATACATGTCTTCATGAGTGCTCCAACTGTGACATGATCAGGAAGAATTGGCTTGCATCCTTTCGATTCTGAGGATTCTGCTGTCATTTCTGATAAAACATCAAAAGCTCGAGCAACAGCTCCAGATTCACCACATGCACTGATCAAAGCGTTGAAGACAACTCGATCTGGCTTCACCTTCTACTGCAAGTACGACCGAGTAAGTTCATCAAGCATGAAGATGCTTGCAGAGGCTTATTAATTGAACAATTTCTTCACATCTACAGCACAACGACTCAAAAAAAAAAACATCTACAGCACAAGTGAAATGAAGCACATCTAGCATAAAAATTCCTGAGTGAGCCTAGCTCACTTGGCTAGGAGAGTGAACCCAGCAACCCAGGTTCAAGTCCTCACAGATGGGAGTTCGGGCTCTTATTATTTCAAAAAAAAACAACTGTATGGGCCTCCCTTACCACTTCCCTTTATGAAAACATAAAAAATCATGAGATAGAACAATTCACCTTTGAACTCATGATCCCGTAAGCACCAAATGCTTTTGCTACTTGCCCAGCTTTAGCACAGCCATCAATTAGTGCACCGTATGTGTTAACATTTGGCTCTATTCCAGCACTAACCATCTCATGGAAGACCTAAAATATAAGTGCAGAATAATGGATAACATGAGGTACAGTATCAAGATATAAATGGAACCCCCACATATGAATTTGTTTTTTGTTATGAGCGAAAACTGTAGGGGAGGCCCCGACAGTAAAATTTCATGAAAATAGAGAATATTTACTAGGATGTATACACGGCAAGAAAATAACGGCTCCCACCTCCCAGTGCTACATGCTACATTGAACAAGAGAGGCCAGAAGAAAAGCTTAAACCCGAGTGTAGAAGTGCATGCTCTAGCCAATGCAACCAAAAGACCGATCTGATGGAAGAGACTAGGCAGCACATTATACGTCAACACTCCCCCTCACGTGTGGCTCCCTCGGGCCTAAACATGGACCGAAAGTGGGCTGCAATTTAATTGCGTCAGCCGGGTCTTGAACTCAAGACCTCTTGGCTCTGATACCATGTTAGAAGGGAGAGAGGGATTTGATGGAATAGTTCATTGTATTGCTTGAGCCTCGTGGGCATATATATATATATATATACGCTATCCTACGTTTCCTAAATAACAATGACACTCAACACCGAGGGTTGTTGGGTGGGCCCCTCTCCTCTCACCCC